CCCCCCCCTCACCATTTATCCCACTTTGTTTAAGAAAGGGAAAGAACACGGGAAAACAAAATCCAACACATGTTCACGTGATAAAGCAAAACAAAAGCATCTAAGACTTGAGACATCACCAAAGTCCAAGTCCAAAGTCTTAGATTAGGTAGGCTATTTGCCCACAAAATGTCACGGACAAGGGAAAAATTGCAGGCGTAATAATAGTATTATTATAAGCATTACCTTAAATGTAGGCCTATACAAATGCACACAGGCTTATTTATATATAATGCACACACACATGCACAGACACACACACAGACACACATACATGCACACTAACACAGACACACATCATGAACACATGCCCAAGCACAAACATGCATGATAAACACATACACGTCCAAGCTTGCAAACATACACAACACACAGACACACACATATATAACTCATACACACTCATATACAACACATGAACAACCCACTTTAAGCCAACATGTGGAACGGACCCCTGCTCGCAATCACACACTTTCATGACTGGACTACAAGCGTGTACTTGCTCCTCTGTGTTTAATTTTGTCAAAAGTATGTCCAACTGCATACTTTAGTCACAAGTAACAAGTATTTCCCACTGTATACTTTAGTCAAAAGTATTTACAACTGTATACTCTACTCACACATATTTCTGTATGCTTTAGCCGAAAGTATTTCTGACAATAAATACTTTAGTAGAAAGCATTTTCAACTGAATATTTTACTAGATAGTATTTCAACTGCATACTTTATTAGTAAGCTTGTTCAACTGTATTCTTCAGTAAAAAAAAATTCCAACTATCTTTTAAGCAGAAAATATTTCCAACTTTACGCTTAGGTAAAACATTCTTTTAAAGGCACAGAGTGTCTGGGTCCAAAAGATATAGAAATAATTCTAATAGATGAACAGCAACTTACTTGACGAACTTAAACAGATGAATAAAATAAAAGGACTTCAACAGTATCAGAAAGTATAAGTTTTTTTTAGAGCAGAGAACTCAGAAAAGAGTGGATATTCATGATTGCCGATGTCTGTTTCAGAACAGATCTGGCACATGAAAAAAAAGAAGCAAAAGTTCATGACGACGCATGAGACAGCAGCAGTTGTTCAGTGAACAGAATTTGACAGAGAAAATGTGTTTAAATTTAAAAGTAAGGGTGTTATGCCTCCTATTGACATAATTTAGATAATTTAGGAGGCGGGCTACTTCATCCCTATCTATTAGAGCCAACCCAGGCTGAGAGGGGCACAATGTCCCAACAGGAAGCTGGAAATACTCGATATATACAGTATAACACGGATAGGTCAGAACACAGAAGACTCCATATCACACATCCATCGAACTGTGTCTGCCGTCCCATTTTTTCCCCATTCTATATCTTTGTAAGATATCCCTCGAGCTACGGATCCCTCGAACTACCGAGGCCGGTCCCAACGAATTTGAGCTATCCGTGTTATACAGTATTTTTTAAATAAAGATTCTTGCCATATATAGGGATTGAACTCAGCTCTTCAGCCTGCAGTGAAAAAGCGCCTAACCACTACATCACAGACACCTTTCGTCTCAGTGAGCAGTGGATCACATCAACTACATTTGCGACACAACAATGGTTAAAAGACACACAGAAAAGTATCCCCAGCACACACAGACAAAAGTACACTCGGCCAATCACCCATATCAAAACATTATGATCTCCTCACATGAGAAACAACTCAGGTACACGCTGTACATTTTTTACACGAAGAAAGTGAACAGAGTACTTCTCCTCACAACAAAAAGTCAAACCAGATGATCAACTTGTCAGAGTCATTCCGCATTTGCCCGAATCAATTTCTGGGGGCTTCCCAGACAAAGTCGATATTTTGACAAAGTCATCAATGAACATCTTAAGAAATAATTTTAATGTGTTTCATTACATGTATTTCCTTCCAAATTTTTAATAAAAAATAAAGGAGAGCCCAATTCATGGTTCTAATTTGGGCTACTCTCTTTTGCTTTAATTTTCTGTAAAATTTAAAAAATGACTTAGACGATTGTGGAAAGACACTGAAAAAGTAGATCATCGAGCTATGCCATTTCTCAGAGTGTAATAATAATTCTTTTCCCCAGAAATTCAACCAAAATTACTGTAAGGCTATAAAGAATTCTTATACAAAATGCAATTTTTTTACAAGTCTATTTCAAGGAAGCCTCAATTTAACACTCATCCATTTATTCTCATAGAGGAGTCTGTAACGCCATGAAAAAAACATTTTATATTCCACAGCATGAAAAGGCATTCGGAAATTACTTCAGTGTCAATGTCACCACAGTAAAACTAAGAGCAACTGAGACACCTGAGGGCAATGTTTACACTTCTGAAGTGAAAGAATGGCCTTGGTCCTCCCGAAACATTTGCAAACCATACTTTCTCTCTCTCTCCAACCCCTCCCTCCTCTCTCTCCCTCCCCCTCTTTCTCCCTCTCTCTCCAACCCCTCCCTCATCTCCCCCGCCCCCTCTCTCTCTTCAACCCCTTCCCACCCTCTTCCTCCCTCTCTCTTTCTTACATGCACGAATTAAAAACTTGTAATATTCAGCTGCGTATTCACTCAATTTCCAGTCATTGTTAAGATAAAGTATAAAGAAACTTGGCGTAAACATAAATGAAAGCAGGAATCTGCATTTCTCACAACATTTTTGGCAACAAAGAGTTTCATTTTGAAAACAAGGCTGAGTAGATCTACATGTACATTTATGCCACTAAAGCATCAGAAAAGAAAATGCTAAAAAAGGCAAAAGTGAAAAAGAATAATCCACATCTAAAACAAAAGCCCAAACAAAATTCTGGTCCCCGGAAGTTCATTGTACGTGAATTTTGAATGATTGATAGATTGTAATAAATATTTTCACACCCTCATCAACAGGTGGATGGTTCAACCTTGTCTGTTAGGGCCAACCTTGGCAGTTTGGGATACAAATTTACAGGAGGCGGAAAACTGTATAACTGTCCCCCTAGTTTTATGCACCCTGCATTAATTAGCAAAATTTGATCTTTTTTTGATAATTTCTGTTTATTTTCCTTTATCATTCTTTGTTAAACTTAACAGAATCACATAATTTCACATTTTACGGCTCAGTTTGCATAATTTCAGAATTTTTTATGCATAAAACAGCGGGGACAGGTATAAGAACTTTCCGGCTGGCGAATAGTATTCGTGTCTTCTGCTTGCAACGGCAAAAAGCCAAAAATTACACCACAGACACTGATGAGAGAGAGGACAGAACTGGCAGAACTGATACACTTCATCATTTGATTTCTGGACCATTTTTCTCAGGTTCAAGCAACCTTTTCTTTGCAGAGTCTGGGCGTTTTCGCTTGATCCCTGCGTGTAGCCTTTTGTGCCTCTGCAGGTTACCAGCCTGCGAAAATCCTGCATCACAAATATCGCACTTGTAAGGTCTTTCACCTGTGTGTGTCCTCAGGTGTATCTGTAGACTCCCACTCTGGGCAAAACTCGACCCACAAATGTCGCACTTGTAAGGCCTTTTCCCAGAGTGAGTTCTCTCATGTTTCTGCAGGTTGCCGCGTTCTGCAAACCCTGCACCACAAACCTCGCATTTATAAGGCTTTTCTCCCGTATGTGTTCTATGATGCCTCTGCAGGTGGCTTTTTTCACCAAACTGAGCACCGCAAATTTCACACCGGTAAGACTTTTCCCCAATGTGTGTTCTTCCATGCCTCCTGAGGTCTCCACTCTGTGCAAAACTAGCGCTGCAAAGTTCACATTTGTAGGGTTTTTCTCCCGTGTGCGTTCTTTCATGCCTCCTTAAATGGCCACTTTCAGCAAACTGAGCGTTGCAAATAACACACTTGTAAGGCTTTTCCCCTGTGTGGGTTCTTTTGTGTCTCTGAAGATTGCCAGTCCCTGAAAAGCCAGCACCACAATAATTACACTTGTAAGGTCTCGGCCGAATGCGTTTCTTTTTGCCGTTGACAAAAATTGGGTTCTCCAGAAGAGTACATGTAGCCTTCGCTTGTCTCAGCTGTGTCTTTTCCAGTTTTCCTTGACATGATGAACCGTACAAAGATTCTGGACGATTCTCAAACGTACAACTTGAGCTGTGGCCCAGTCTCCTGTCCAGTGGTTTTGTTGGTTGGCTGAGGGCTGGTGGAAAGTTAGTCCTGGAGAAGGCACCTAGAGGGGAAGTAAAAAGAATACATATATATATAGTAAATGTCAGTTAATCATAACATTCTCACACACAAGAAACAAGAATTGTGCTAATAATATGTACTTTTCCGCTCGATCACCATAATTTAGATAATGAGGCAGGCTGCTTCAACCCTGCCAGTCAGGGCTAACCCAGGCTGAGAGGAAAACAACATAACTGCGAGCAGACGATGACGCTATATAAAAAGAAAAATCTACCCACTCAGGAGTCTTGTGTGTGACAGCAAAGCACGGAACCACTACACTACAGATGATGGTACAGACTTCAAACACAGCCTGCAAAGATCTTTATAAAAAGGATGTGACTTGCACGAAACAACCAGGTGTAATATTTTTGTTGTTGAGTTCTCTATTTTACATTTTTTTGATGTTCTCAAATTATTAGGCCAATTGCAGTGCAGCTTTGACAATAGTTTATGATTCATTCATACATAGCTTTGGCTTGAAATAAACTATTGCAAGCTCCACACAACTTCTTACATTTGGGGAACGAATCTATAAAATGACATTAACATTAAACCATTTAATTTTTCTGCCTGGGACCATCATAATCCTGATTTTGCTGTACCAGACTGTCATCTGAACAAGACAGTTTTAAGCAATAGTATAAACCTACCTAGGAAGTTTTGACGAACAGCAAAAGGGAGAAACAATACCTCAGCCATTTTACGGGGGCTCTCGTGGCCTAGAGGTTAAGGTGTTGGCCTCTCATTCAAAGGTCCCGGGTTCGAATCCGGGTAGCGACTGTAAAATTTTCTTCTCTAAAATTGTCTCCTTTCACCTCCTTTCCTGCTCTCTAGCAGTGTTCTGTTGTCTGCTTTCATTTCCACTTTCTGCCCCCACCCCCTCACCTCCTTTGCCCCCTCCTCTGGGCTCCTGACTCTTTCTGCAGCCTTTCTACTGCTACTCCTTGGCTCCTCCTTACTGCTGTCTTTCTGCCACACCCCTGATCTTCTGGTAGGAAAGATCTACACCTAGCCTTCTCGGACAAGGGCGAAAAATCTCGTAGGGCCCGGATGCAAGTTGCGCACGTTAAAGATCCCTTGGTGGTCTAAAATCGATAAGAGTAGGCTTCGGCCGCCACCCGGGCAAAATTCAAAATTTCCTACCAACTGAAAATATTAGGTGTGTCCCGCGCGCTCATATGACCTTATGCAGTTGCGAGCGCCGTAAAACACTTTACAAAAACAAACAAACAAAAAGCCATTAAATTTACGTCAACAGAATAATAATAGCAAAGTCACTTTTCTATCTATCATTATGTAAAGCTTCGAGTCTGTACTGCACTAACTATCAATACTTACAGTAAGTAAGAAACTCACATCTTAGTGGCAAAAGTTGAGCATGACTGATTTTGCCCCAAGGTCATCCCAGGTTAAGTGATGTGACAGCAAAGGCATGGAAAACATAACTTACTTTAAAGTTTAAAAAAAGACTCCATTGAAGAGACAGGTTCACAGAGCTTTATAATAACAGAAAGCTTTAAAAATTTAGATCGAGAAAAGTAAATCGCTTTTGTCTCACATAAAATATAAAACATCAAAACAATATCATGACCTCAGTGTTTTCTTGCTGTATCTCCATGTCTTTTTAAACAGTGAAAACAGTTCATAACAAAGAGTGAGCCTAAGAAAAAGTAACATTTGCCAATGTTAAAAAAAATGGAGATACGACAAGAAAGCACTGTGGTCGCGAGAGACATGCTGACAAAATGAGTCACATCTCGAATTTCAGTCCTATGGAAAAAGACGTGTCAAGTTAATGTGAGGAGTTTGTTCAATCTATAAGTATAAAATGATAATTTAAGACATACATGATATATGTTTCACTTGAAGAATATGGCGTATCAACTGAAAATCTACAAATTTGACCCAAGTGTCAATTTTTGGCAGTTATCTCCATTTGTGGATTGCGAAAAGTAACTCATTCTGTCAGCACACCTCACAATATATGTGTGACATCGCGGTGAAATCAGGCGCTCGTCAAAATAACGAAATTGAGAAATCTGCATTTTTAGGCCAGTTTGGAAATTTTTTTCGAACTTTTGTTTTTTTGGCTCAACACCTTGTATGTCCATTCAAAAGCACTTTTAAGTCAGGATTTTATGGAAAAACTAAGATTGAGGGGACACAACAAATTTTAAATTTGCAGTTTCAAAGTACTCTTGTAAGCTATGGAAGTCACCAAACTTTGGCTGCCATTTTTACGAGAATTTTACCTCTAAAACCAGGCGACCCCATCTCCTTCAATCGCAAATATCTTGACTTCTTTTCAAGATAAATGGATATTTTTTTCATTGAAAGAAAAGCAAATAAACAATCTTTAAAACTTAAGATGATACCAATAACTCCATGCTCAAAATTGACGAGCGCCTGATTCCAACATGTGATATTATTTTATTTTAATCCACCTAACTCTTTCAAGTCCAAGCTATACTCTCAAGAAATAGAGTAATCATCAAGACCCATATCAGCTGATCTATAGAGTGGCATTTTGGAAATTTTCCTTATCATTTACAATGCTCAGTTCAAAGCAAAAAAATAATACTTTACACTTAAAAAGTAATTCCAAAGATGAAAATTATGGCATTGCTAGAATGAAAAAGAAGCTAGTTTTCTCTTAGCTTACACCTTTTATTGAAAGAAAATTGAGAAAAATGACAGCAATTGAAAACTTGGACCGACGCATCTTCCTGTAAAATATTATATGACCCAATTGTGTGCATACAACACAGAATCAGGTATATATATACAAGAAGTTCAAGCCAAGACGTGCACACTCACCTTCTGAAACTATATTCAGCAGACCTTTGTTTACGCCAGGCCATTGTGAGTACCCATGGACATCTTCAGCACCATCAGAACTAATGTCAGGCAAAACATCGGGTTCTATGTCTGAACTCTCATTCTCTTGAAAAAAACCGTCCGTGGCTGTGGGGTACACCTTGAGCTTTACAGGGACGGACGACTTGCGCTTTCTGCTTCTGGATGATTTACTGCTTTGACTTACACAGGGTTGCTCTGCAGTCGGTGCGCTGTGGTCATTACTTTTGTTTATCACAGATGAGTGCTGTTTTGGTTCAGCAATACTAGGAGCTACAAGAAGGTTGCTGCTGTCTGCATCCTTACAATCATCAACACTGTCAGTTGGTTCTGTTTCAGCTGTCTTCTGAGAAAAATACCCATCAGCAGCATAGTCATCCATAATTGGTTGAAACTTGTTCATGTTTTGACTTTGGTATCCAGATTCAGGGGAACCCTTACAATAAGAAACCACTGGTTTACATGATGCATCTTTGCGGTGAATTTCTGTCTCGTATTCTTCACATCCATGGTCAATGTTAGGTTTCATTTGCATTATTAGTGTCGACTGAAAGGAAGTATTTTTCCTCACCAACTGCTGTTCAAATTTAGAGAGGTTTTCACCTTGGAAGTCATTGCCGTCTCGATCTATCTCTTCTTCAACAGATTCATCAGGAATTACCAAATCGTCAGAATCTTTGACTTTGAGTTTAGCTCGTACCATAGAAGGCGACGACGACGACACTGCTGCTACTGGTTCTTCCATCGCACAAAATCTCCTTCACACTGCGTTGTCCCCCTAGATCTACATGGATACTGCTAGAACGTTAAGTTTTTGGGAAAATGTACAAAACAAGCCTAGATTTAGAATACCCCAATCTAAATCTGATTACACAAATTTAACTAATTTAATCGAAGTCACCAAAGTTGGACAGTCAGAATTCCAGTTCATCCAAACGGTCGTTGGGGTGCGTGCATGTAGACTTGGCAGTTTAAAATCTGTTTTTTGGAACGCGCGCAGTGAAAGAATAAATAAGATAACTCTCATTCATGTACGTGCTTGAAAGATCATAGCTAATTTTCAGGGACGTAATTAATATTTTAATTCATGTACAAACCGAACATGAATGCATAAAAGTGTCCTCTTTCATTGCCAAAAAGATAGTTTTAAACAGAGATACGACAGTTTTACCCATACTTTTTTCAGGGGAAATAACCAATAAAATAGCTCCCACTCCTCCGCCTTCCTCTTATTCTCCCTTCTTTCTGTGTGACAAATTTAGGTAAATTTTAGCTTTGAAATCTAGATCTAAGTCATTTTTCCATAAGTGAATTATGTACTGGACTGGACACACAGTTAAGTATGGAGAACGTTCGGGCTTTAATAACTTTATTAATTGTTTGTCTTATCTCTGTTAGTCTGGTCATAGCAACTTATACTCTTTTTCAAAATATATGTATATTTTATTTAATACTCTTTTATTTTGCCTTGTTTGTATTTGTAATTGTTTAACAGAGACCAGTTCAGACGATTGAAGGTTTGTTTCAGTAATATGTATCTCATTGTTTGTGTTACACAATATCCTATTTTACCTTTGTCTCTTCAGCGATTTACTACTTGACTGTTCACTTTTTTAAAGTAAATATGCTAGGCTTAGGGCCTATATATGAAAATAGTCCAAGATGGCTGTTCACCATTGTTGAGAAATGCGGCTCTCGGACTCATAACTGTTTAGTCGTGGGTTCAAATCCAGTCAGGTGCTCTATGTTGTGTCTTTGGGAAAAGCACTTTACATGAATTTTCCTCATTTCATCCAGGTGGGAATGGAGACCCGGTTAAAGTTACAGACAGCGAAAGATTTTGTCAGTTTATTATTGTTTAAGCATCACCCCGCAGCTTCCATTGTATGCTGCACTTCCCAGGACACTGAGAATGTCTTTCAGTAGTTCTAACTTCTGCTGGGGTAGTAATGGTTGTTAGGCACACACAGCAAGCTGTAGAGCGGCGCATATGAGCTACCGTATATAAAAAAGCAAGTTTTTATCGCCATATTAATTATAATACGTACCGTATCTGTTAAATACTTTCTCTCTTTATAGTCCTAGTATTTAACATGCTTCCCTTCAAACCAGACAAAAGTCGCACCAAACAGATGCTTTAGCACGGTCAAAGGTGGCTTTCTAAAAGAAGTGCTTAGCGACTGAAAGTGTATTATGCCTCAGTTGACACAATGTTAGATTATTTAGGAGACAGGCTGTTTCTACTCTGCCTGTCAGAGCCAACCAGACTGTGTTGAGAGGGATACAATGTCTCAGCAGAAAGATAGATATACTCAATAGAAATTCTGCCCACTTGGGAATTGAACTCCAACTTCCTGCATGCAACAGAAAGCGTCTAACCGCTCCACCACAATTTTATGTCTGTAGCAATACAGTTGTCTCCGCCTAAGATCCTGGTGTTCGGGAGCAAGGGCATGCGGGATCTTAGGCGAACCGGGATCTTAACCGACGAACCCAGGGAAGAATCTATGGTGACCCGTGCTAAGGCTCACAATTGGTAAAATGATATCCCTCCACTTTAAAATAAACTGACGTGACCGCTTGTTGGGTTTATGACGTATGGCGAGCAAAGAGTGGTTAACCTTGATGAAAAAAGTTGATGACCTATGCATAGTGGGATGAGGCGTGCCATTTTCACTTATTATCCTATCATGAGTCTCAAGATCTACGCTTGTCCAGTTGCCCCTCCCCCTTACCTGTAGAAAATTTATAGCTTTCCATCTCTCACCGAGCCCCCCCCCCCCCCAAACCACCTTAGTTGTTAAATACCATTATGTTTTGAACTCATCAATTAAAATTCAGTCTGTCTCACAAATTCGGGAGTAGAGACAACTTCTGCAATGGTCAGGGAAGAGTTCACAGTTCGATGTGATCCCGATTGGAGCGAACGTGTAGGCCCTACCCACCCAGCGAGTGATGTAAGTTTAGGGGGAGAGCTCAGGTGTGAGTGCGATGCGGGGGGAAAATAAACGTGTCGGTCAGTTTACACCTCAGTGTGATCCCGTCTGGGGCAAACATTGTATCGCTTCATCGAGTTTTACAACGTGTATGTGATCACTTTTACGATAGTGGCTGATCTTTGACGCGACGGACAGTTTATTGATCTCAACTTTTCACTCTTGGTTGATCGGCTGTCCCGCCCCCGTTTTTGTTCCGCAAATTATGATCTGAAATGCGGGATCTTAGCCGAATGTAGACCTTCAGAGCGAATCAGAGCGGGATCTTAGGGGTGACTTTTGTATAGTAAAAATTATGTTTTCTTAAAACAGCGGGATCTTAAGCGAACCGGGATCGTAAGCGGTGGGATCTTAGGGCGGAGACTACTGCAGTTAAGGAGGTGAAGTTAACACCCAATCTACACAACAGCAAGGAGACTTCATCTCTATAAAAATAAAAGAGAGGCAGAATTTGCTTCAGGAAAACAGTGTCTGTGACGCAGCAGTTTGGCTCTTTGTTGTTGAATGCAGAAGACATGCAAGTTTGATTGCCGAGCAAGGAAGTTTAAAAAGAAATAATCTAATCCACCTGTCTTCTCACATGTTGTATTACTCTACATGTATTACTTATCAGCCTGGATTGGCCCTGACAGAGACAGGAAAAGCACTTTGACACATCAACCGCAAGTCATACAGACAGAAATAATAGAGGGAAAGAAAAGAAGCATTCAACCCACTTGTGTTACCCTCCAACAACTCCCCAGTCATTGTAGGAACAGGTCAATTTGAGGATGATCGTATGCAGATTTCATTTACAGACAGGCCGATACATTATCTTATAATTATAATGATATGAAATTATTGTAATCAAACATGAAGAAAAGCACACCAGACAAGAACACTCACAAACCAATCAGAACATTGCTTATCACAAATTTGTAGAAATATTCAAGAACACACTTAAGTTGATTTTGATATAGCACATTTATTTCTATAATAAGTACAAAAAGCCGAAATCCCAGGGATAGGCATAAAATACTTAAAAGACTTTTGATTTAGACTTAATAAATATAAAGTACCTGTACTATAATAATAGTATTCCTGTAAGTTACTGTAAATTATACTTGCATATATGCATGCACCTTAACAGTACAATACGTAATATAATATACACACATGCACTCTCCACCCCCCCCCCCCCCGTACACGCACACACACACAAAATCATTAGAATGTTACAGGGACAAAACTGATCAACAGAAGTCTCTCTCTCTCTCTTTCTCTCTCAATCAAACACACAAACAACGAGGTCCATTAACAAAAAGACAAAGAATCCACTGTAAAAAGACAATGGAAATCAAAACAGAATATATCGATGACCAAACCAAATATAGCCTTGCATGCACATAGCAAAATTTGCAGGATGTTGAAATCTTTCGTTATGTATGAATTTCGCTATGTACGCGTTTTAAATACAAAGAAAATACAGTGTCAGCTAGCTGCTAGAATGACCTAACTCCAGAAGGCAAAATTTTACAGGGTACAGTAAAAATTGTTCATTTTTTTTGCAATTATACCTACATTATGAATTTACCTACATTATGAATTTATTTTCTTTTTCTTTTTAGCTTTTTTCAACAGTTAGAATTTGAATTTCGAAAAATACTTCTTGAGCACATGCAACGGATAGATCTACCACAAATCAAGAAACTGCTCCGCTATAAAAGAAATTGCAATATCTTGGGCTCAGTACATTTTATTTGTTTAGTCTTTGCAAGATTTTATGGCACTTGCAACATAAAAAGGTCATACAATAAGTGCTGAAGATTGAAGGTGTGAGAGCAACAAACACAAAAAAGAAGGAGAGATAAGGAAGATAGATGTTTGATAGGAAAGAAGGATCAAACCACACCAGAACACCCGCCAACCACCCATTTAGTACATTTTAACAGCTGGCTGACAACATGTAAAAAAGAAAAAAATTCAGTACCTGAAAATCTGTTTGCTACATGCATGCTAGACTTTGCTTTAACGAAAGACATTGTACACTGTCTTGTGTATAATAATTGCAAACTATGAAACTAGTGCATATAATGCAAAATATTCAAAATGCCTACACAGAACATACTGATACGGGACAGGCCATACTATGACAAGATAAACATTATATGTGAGTTTTGACCACATAATTCCTACATCGTACACTCTGATGTATTTCCAGTTCACTATGGGATGGGCCATTAGAGCCGAAAGGACAAGGGAAAAGGGTGCCAAGTACACATTAAAACAATTTTTAAAAAGATTTTAACATGGTGTTTCTACGTCTCAACTGATCATTAAGAGAGAGGCTCCGCCTGTCAGGGCCAACCTGGACAAAGATGGATACAATATTCCAGCGAAAAGACAGAGAAACTCAATAAAAATTCTCCCCGCTCAAGAATCAAACTCGGGTCTCCTATATATATGTGACAGCAATGTAACAAACCGCTTAACCACAGATGCTGGTTCCACACGCTAAACTGTAGGGAGGACTGGTTTTGTATGGTGTAGAAATAGAAAACAGTCGTTGTATGAGATAGGTTACTTCCCTACAAAAATAGAAACAAAACACTTTCGTTCTTCAGTGGCGTCGGTGGCCTAGTGGCTAAGCTCTCGGACTCGTAACCGTAAGGTCGTGGGTTTGAATCCCGTCAAGTGCCCGACGTTGTGTCCTTGGGAAAGGCACTTTACATGAATTTTCCTCACTTCACCCAGGTGGGAATGGGTACCCGGCTATAGACAGCGAATGATCTTGTCAGTTTGTTAGTGTTTGAGCGCTTAATCGGCTGCTCGTACTGTATGCTTCCCGGGAAGCTGAGAATGTTTCGAAGTGTTCTATGGTCTGCTGGGGTAATAATATAGTGTAAAGCGCATAGAGCCTGCTGTTGAGCGGGAATATCCGCTATACAAATGCTATCTATTATTTAGGCGTAACAACTCAACCTACACTTTGCACGCTTCTTTCAGGTGAAGATTTGATAGAGAGATAGCAAAGAGCAGCAGCCATGGCAGTGCGCATTCTACAAATAAAAGTCTCAGATTTTTTGTCCAACTCTTTGAGACCTAGCCACTGGTACAACAGTGGCGCATAAAACTGCCCATACGCCTAGCCACCGGTACAACAGTGGCGCATAAAACTGCCCATACGCCTAGCCACCGGTACAACAGTGGCACATAAAACTGCCCATACGCCTAGCCACCGGTACAACAGTGGCGCATAAAACTGCCCATACGCCTAGCCACTGGTACACCAGTGAGTGAGGCCTTATCCCAAACCCAACTCACCTGAAACAAAATGACCACAGGAAACCGCGTTTACTACACAGGATGTTATTGATTATTTTGAAGATTTTTCTGAATAAGAATTAGATGCTGGTAATGATGAGGACTACCCTGAGTGGGATATGGAATGTGATTCTGACAATCATAATATAAATGTAGCCTCAGCAGATCAGGGCTCAAAGGGTTCAAGTGTAAATGTTTCACAGCACTTGCAACACTATTATGTTGTATAAAAGCTGAAGATAAGAGAGCAACAAAGACAAAAAAGAAGGAGGAAAGATAAGAACGAAAGATGTTTGATAGGAAAGAAGGAACAAACCACACCAAGAGCACTCATCAACCACCCACATACAAATCTATGGTTTTGCTGTACATTCTGGGCAGACAAAATAGAATAATATCATCATAGACTAAGTTAAGTAATATATTTATTTTAACCAGAGTATCCCATGAAACAGAACAGTTCACATACTATGGATCCAGAAGAAATGAGGAGCTAAAGAGATAATAATACTACAGTAACAAAGCAAGAGACAAACGCAGTCGGGCAGGGATAACTAAAACATGTCTGGGATTTAGAAATGTGTTCAGACACATCCATAATTCGGGTAAACTGTACAGCGGAAAAATAAAGAGATCAGGTGGGGATGGAAAATCATACGAACCATCTGTGATTTTGAGTTTCAATGTTTCGTGCTCATGCTATCTGTGCCCGAATGTGGGAAATATTGAGATAGGTGGGAAAACGTACAACAACCAGAGGGAGAAAAAGTAAACAGTACAAAGTCTGTAAGAAATGCTGCAGGACAAAAAGGCATTGTAAACATTTTATAATATCAATGAAAGCATTCCTGTGCCTGTATAAAAAACAAGACTACTTACTACCATAAACAGTAGGCTATTTCTCCAGCTCCTCAGACACATAAAATGTTTTCAGGTTAATGTTCAAATGTGATAGAATCTAAACACAAAGAGTCTGGTGAAGACACCACTAGAATACTGATACCGCTTGCAGGGTAAGTCTCACTTCATCTTGGTTTGCCATAAATAAGAGTTGTAGTAAATTCCCATTTGTGAATGACAGTGTCTTAATGTCTAATGCATACACAGCTTTTTAAAAATCAGTGATACATTATACTCATTATACATTGAGTAAGCATGGGGCATGATCATCTAAGCATTAATCGGCTCTGGAGTATACCATACAATAAATCAAAGGTATCAGTCAGGCATAAGTGGGCCAGCTCCAATGTTTTCTGAAACCTGATATTTTTACTTTGTCATAAAGCAGGGGTTAAATACACCATTTCTACAAAGCAGTATACCAAGTTTTTTACAAGAGATTTTTCTATCCATTTCTGCCACATCTGAATTAAAGTTAAGTTTTAGGTCATTCAAACAAAATAAGCTTCCATGGAAAGAGCTCATTTGTGCCTGACACTGTCACAATCAATATATGTTCTTTTTCAATTCCAAAGTGTAGCCATTCAGTCATCAGCACAAATTCAGTTCTATCAAACATGTTAACAATAGCTGTAACAGACAATTTTATACAGTTTACAACCTTTTTGCAGCCACGTAGACAAAAGCATAGCTATGCAGACAAAGCACTTCGACTTTAACTCTTGCTCAGTCTGCACTTGCATACACACACTTTTGTAATTTTGTATCAGTCCTAGAACTCATTGCAAATCTTGCCCAGCTGGCAAATCTTGCACTTGAAAGACTTTTGGTTTCAACGAGTATGTATAAGATTGTGCTTCTTGAGGCCCGAACTTTGAGTAAATGCTGCCCCACATATTTCACATTTGTATGGCCTCTCCCCGGTGTGTGTTCTTCCATGGCTCTTTAGGGTACTGCGCCCTCTGAACCTAGCTCCACATATGTCGCACTTGTACGGCTTCTCTCCTGTGTGTGTCCTTTTATGGCGCTGTAGGTGACCACTCTCCACAAAACGCATACCACAAGCTTCACATACATAAGGCTTTTCTCCTGTATGGGTTCTTCTATGATTCCGTAACTCACTGTTAGACGCAAAACTTGAACTGCACACATCGCACTTGTATGGTTTTTCTCCCGTATGTATTCTTTTGTGAACATTAAGGTGGCCTACCTGTGCAAACGATGTACCGCAAACTACACAGTTGTATGGCTTTTCCCCCGTATGCACTCTTCGATGAACAGTCAGCTGTGACTTTTGTCCAAATGCAGCACCGCATATATCACATTTATACGGCAATTCTAGATGTATTTTCTTGTGACTATGCAGGCCGGCAATCTGCGCAAAACTTTCACCACAAAACTCACACTTGAAAGGCAATTCTCCATTATGTCTTCTTCTGTGAGCTGACAGATCAGCACTCCTGGTGAATCCTGCACCGCAGATTTCACACTTGAAAGGCGTTTCTCCCGCGTGCGCTTTTCGGTGCCTGTTTAGACCACTTTTCTGTGCAAAACTTGAGCCACAAATGTCACACGTGTACGGCATTTCTCCAGTGTGTATTCGCACGTGTTCCAAGAGGTCATAACTCTGAGCGAACCGGGCATCACAGAACTCACAACTGTAATTCTCTTCTCCTACGTGTTTACTGTTGTGTCTTTTCAGATCTCTCCTCCTTGTAAACCCCGCACCACAAACTTCACACTCATAAGGCTTTTCTCCAATGTGTATTTTTTTGTGTCTCTGTAAGTGGCCACTGTCTGTAAATCCTGCATTGCAAACTTCACATTTATAGGGCTTTTCCCCAGTGTGTATTCTTTTGTGCCTCTGTAGGTGACTATTCAGTGTGAACCCTACATTACAAACTTCACATTTGTATGGTTTTTCCCCTGAGTGTATTCGTTTGTGCTTGTGTAGGCTGCCCCGGTGAGCAAACTCCGCATTACAAAACTCACAATTGTATGGTTTTTCCTTCGAGGGAGTTCCTCTGCTGTCCGTAAAGCTAGAAGCCCCTGGCAGATCACATTCATTTTGTTCAGAATAAGTATCTTCCAGCATTTCTTGTGACGGGCTACAAGAAGAACTGGCATTTACATCAAAAGTACCACTTGATCTTTGTCCATGCATTCTGTTCTGCGTTCCAAGGGGACTGAACTCTGGAGGGTGGTCACTGCCAGATACAGCATCTGAGGAAGTCAAGTAAAATCAAAGTCAGTTCACGGAAATTAATCTTAATAAAGCTTAACCACAGAAGTAAGAGATCAAGGGGAAAGCCAAGAGTAATGTGAGGAAGAGTCTGGGTTTTTAAAAAAATGTAGGCATTTTTATACAGTTTGTATCATTTAGGAGGCGGGTTTTCAACCCTGTCAGTCAGGGCTAATCTGGGCAGAGAGATACAACATCCCAGCATCAGAAAAACCTAGATACAGACTCCTAAAAATTTCTTCCAACCCGGAAATCAAACTCAGGTCTCCTGCATGTAACAGCAAAGTGCCTAAACCGCCATTCACTTTACAATATCTA